ATCGAATGAACTAGTTGAAGCTAATTTGCTGCTTTCGTGTGAATCAACTTCCGTTCGATTGTGTATCAGTCAGTAATATCTCATTCATGAAGTAATCCATGTTATTTTAGCCATTAAAAACATTGGCCAAGCAACGTCCCACTCCGAATATTTTCAACGCGTATACTCTGCTCACTGTTTCACTGCAGTTTCTTGTGCATTTCGGATGTTTGCTGTACGTCGTGCAAGAGGCGCATATAACTGAGCCACGGTTTGTTTTATACACGTTATTTGAATTATCATTCAGATTGGAATTATTTATCCACAACCATTGAGACTTCAGCTTATAACAACGGCGAATCTTTTCAGTGACAAGATTGACTTGGAAGCAGAGTTCAAGCCAAATTTGTTAAATTCGGCCGTGTACATTATGGCGATGGCGCTCCAAGTTTCCACTTTTACTGTTAATTATCGGGTACATTATGCTGATTGTTCATTCAGTTTTTTGAGTTTGTTCTATTAAAGTAAATTCAGAATGAAATTTCCCGATGTATATCATCGCCATTTATGTTTTGGACTTGGATGGTTGAGGATTTGAACGTGACTTCATCAGTGCGACGTTTACGCATGGATCTGTTTGAATGTTCATGTAGCGATGTTGTTTTTTAAACTGTTCGTTCAGGGTCGTCCATTCATGGAGAGTCTAATGGAGAATAAGCCGATGTTGTATAGTTTATTGTTCTCTGGATGTGCTGTCTTCACGCTGGCATCTGGCGTATCGCCTGAATTGACAGAGAAATTCGAACTTGTTCAGCTTCCAGCGCAGGTTTGTATTTGAAATTTTTACTTTTTGCGTTAGCGTTCAGAGGCTCACGTAGAAATGTCTTGTGTGCTCTGCATTCGTTGCTGTTGAATTGTTTCTTAACGCAGTCGAAAGCTGTACTTGTGATCAGTCAGAAGCATTCATTAGTGTTACAGTTATATTAAGTAATGTTTGGGCAGAATTAAGTCAGCATCATTTCTTTGGTTTTTCTCTATATTTTTATATATTTGAAAATATGATTCTAAGAATATGATTCTAAAAAATTTATTCTTATTTCAGTTCCGTAACGTACTGGTAATGTGTGTGACAATTGATTTAGTAGCCTGTTTTGTCATTGACCGAATATTATGCTTTATCCTCGGGGATATGCGTGCATAGCAAACATACCGCTCTTATTGGTTCTTCCCGAAATATGGAATTACGTTGAATTTCTCTTTTCAACTCGATTTTATAGTCATTGTTGTTTTCATTTTTGAAATATTTTTTCTTTCGGTTTTTTGGGATATATTTCGTTTTTTCATCCCTTTCTAAGTTTTCATTTTCCTATCTCAATTATCGTTGTTTTCGTTAGTTTTATATCGTCACAATTTCTTTGTTAAGTCGTAATTTCAGTTAATTTAATTCTATTTTTCTAACTTTAAG